AGTTCAAGTCGACGTTTTCTTTGTCGTGTAGTTACTGCTTAGAGCTCCTCGTTATGCCGTTGTAAGCGGTTTCCAATGTGTGAGATTCAAGAAGTTGTGATTCTGGTATTTATAAAGCAGTTTCTTAAAACAATAGCTTAGCTGGCATGTACTCTTGTACTTATCTGTTAAAGACGAATCTTTTCCTGTGTTTCTAATCTTGGCACAGAATGAGAACTTTTATGAAAGAATTATCGATGTACACAGAATCCATCGTTATATTTCCAACTGAAATTTCTCTTAGAAATTTCAGGAGTTTGGTTTTACATCGTAAACAGGCGCTTCATTGGTTAGGAATTTTGTAGGATGTTTTATTGAGCATTATTTTTACAGCGCTTTACAAACTAGTTAGATGTAGGTTTTTTCTGAGCATTTTTCAAATAATCACTAGGAATCAATTTCACAACATTTAAAAACCCTATTTCCAATTAGAAATCGCATAAACGAGTGCTTTTCAATTTTGTATTTATTTTGATTGAAATTTGTATCAGATGAAGTAAAACACGTCTATTTTTACCGAAGGTAAAAGTTAACAAATATAGATAAGTAATTCAGATCAGATATAAAACGCAAAATCATTTTATTGCAACAGCAAATACTATTTAAATTTTTTTGTTGAAACTATTAACGACTTTTTAAAAATCTTTTTCATATCCTTAAAAACTTGGTGCGTTCCAGTTTTCTAAGTTCTAGTTCGAAAGTCTCTACTCCGGGGTCTTCCTATCTAGAACCCCCACCTTCTGGAAGGCGGCTTTAGTCGGAGTGGTCCATTAAAATTGTAATAGATGACCGCTTTGGGGGCCATACATCCCAAACTTTCCGACCTTCAGTTGCAGCACATTCTCCTTATCGTTCCTCGGCCATGTTTCATTTTTCTGCTCTTCGGAATTTTGAACTAACGAGATTGTGGACTTGCTCGATTTTCCTGCACGGCTTGACCCCTTGCTCAAACCTGCAATTCGCACTTTCATTCACCGCAGCCTGTTTCTGGACTGATAAGAAATCGGAGTTGGACAACGACTGGTCTACTTTACCAATACCTTCAATGTATATTTTAGGAATAGGATTTTTCCTTTTTTGGATATTGGCAACATAAACTAGACCTGCTAGTTTTGAATTTAAATGTGTAAAGATCAGATTTATGTGAGACAATCAAAGCTCAAAGTTTTAAAATATGGTATTGGTAAATAAATCAATAATTAATTGCTGGACAACGTCTGGTCTACTCTTCTATTCCGTCAATGTATATTTTAGGAATGAGATTTTCCTTTTTTGGACATTGGCAACATTAACTAGACCTGCTAGTTGTGAATTTAAATCTTTAAAGATCAGGTTTATGTGAGACTATCAAAGCTCAAAATTTTAAATATGCTATCCAGGTGTTCATATCTTGTCCGAAGGTCACCAATGAGAGGCTAGTAGTTATCGACAATGTCATCTATGAAAAGGTATCCCAATTTAGAATCGAGTCTTATATACTAGTGAATTGGAATTGTATTTTTGTAGTGGTAGACACACTACAGTGGTATATATTAAAAAACGCATTCTGAGATTATTTTAAATAATATATTTAATTGGTTATCTAAATTATTCAAACCTGTAGCTGCTCAGTTTTCTTTATTATCTTATATTTCTTTGTGAAGTCATTAATAGGTGAATCTCAGTTTTTCTAAGTTCAATACTCATTTGTGATACTGCTGTTTTACACGTAACTTCTATAACTATTATCCATAGAAATTAATACTACGTGTACTATTATAGCTGTTAATAACAGTGCCAGGTACTATTACTCATACAACACCAGTCATTGCTGATATTTTTATTTATTTAAAAAACTTTAAGATGTGTTGCTTTGCTAGATGAAAAAACAGAACGAAAGATTTTTAAGTTTTAACATAAATTAATTTCTGAACTCATATTCAAAAAAATTTCAAAATTTATAGTTCATAGTCAACTTACGTTTTTCTAAAAGGGATTTTATTTTTATTTTCTAAACGTCGTTGATCCAATTTTGAGTTTACGACTAACAGTGTCCGTAGCCTTGTAATTTTAAATAGAGTCGGTATTAGGGAGAAATTTGCGTTATATGAAAACCTCACATGGTTAGCCTGACTGCAAGGGGACTCTTGACTCTAGATCCGATTGTTACTGAGGATATTTTAAGTCAGCACTATTGTCGGAAGGCATTTTAAACATTGATAGTAGACAAGTGTATGCTATTTTTAATTTCAGTAGATCTTAATTACTATATATATTTTGGGATTTTACCTTTCAATTTGTAACAAGGGTAATTTTTTCTAAAACATTTTAATAATGACTAACGAAAAATGATACGTTTGTTTTCTTTATTATTTATTTGATAATTATTTCAAACAAGTTTAAAAGAAAGTTTAAGAATTCTGATTTTAAGTGGTTTCACACTCGTAATATTTGTGTCATGAATTTTTACAATTAGCTACTATTAAAAAAATTAAGTCGCACTGTATTCGTAGTTGTAATTATCATTGTTAGTATTTTATAGATAAATTTCCTTATTAGCATGCTGAATCATGTATTAAATTATGTGTTGCAATTTTACTTTTTACCTTTCCGTATTCGTTATGAAATGCTTGTTATAATGTTGCTACTTTTAGAAGTTTTAATCTTTGTCTCTCTCTTCCCCATTTTTTCTTCTTTTTTTTTTTCTTAATTTTTTTAAAATTCTTTGTGCAATTTTAGCTTGTTTATAATTTTGGTCACTTTTCATAAGTTTTTTTTTGATAGAAGAGTTTTATAAAGAGGAAAAAAAACACTGCAAAGTTTTTATCGTCGCCATAAAAAAAATTAACACTATTACTTTTATAAAAAAAAATTAGTTACGTTAGTGTAAAAAAGAAATATGACAAACGCGTGTCATTTTCTAAAGCACGGGGACTTAGGCAATTTTTTCCCCTTGTGTCCCCCTCCTTGTGCATTATCATTATAAAAAAATAATAAGTTTTAAAAAAATTGCGCAAAAAGTTAATTTTATCTTATTAACTTGGTGGCAAAAATTAATGGAAAAATTAATGCTAGTATTTTCTGAAGTTTGTTCCAGCGTAAAAACCACAAGTTAGCTGCACTTTGCCTCTTTTAAAAGAAGATTATACAACAGTATTCGGGAGGGGGATATATTTTCTTTTTTATATAACCATTTCCCGTACAGGTATATTTTTTTTTTAGCTTTATTCCTGCAATTTTTTAACCGCCGTATCATCAGAGCTTTGTTGAAATTAAATCTAACACACAAGGTGCATAGGAAAAAAAAATGGCGAATTTTTTCCCCTAATTCCGGCTTTTTCCTTCTGCGTCTTAAGTTTTTAACAGTTGAAATCAACGGCACGGAATTAACACTATTTTTTTCATCAAAAAAAAAAATTTTTTTTTTTTTCATTATTATTTTTTTCTAACTCCACAAGCGGAACGTGAGAAAAAATCTTATTAATGATAGGTGGTTTTATGTTGGAGAGAAAGTAAAAAAAAATTCTAAAACTTTAAGCACATTTAAAAAAATTGATTATGTTCCGAGAGCACAGGTAACCAGGTACACTATTTTTTTTTCTTTCTTCTTCTCCCTTTTCTTTAATGAAAGTAACGTTTATTAAAAAACTAGGTATACATTTTTTCTGTCTGCGTATGTTTTTTTTATTTCATTTTTTTTTTCCAACCCGACGTTTCTTGTGCGGGAAGATTAAAAAGAGGCGTACGCCACTGAGAGGGATAGAAAAACTTCTGAAAACACGCAGTAATGAAGTATTATTATAATTAGAGGTCCTCGCGCCGAAATTAAAATTTAAATGCATTGTTCGCGGGGGCTTAGTGTTTCTTTCGCCGCCTGGGGTGGAAATTTCTTTTAAATTTTTTTTTTTCGCTTTTTAATAACTAGTAGGTATAAGGATTCCAAATATTTGCCATTTTTAGAATGTTTTGTTCCATAGAACCATTAAACCAAAGTTTCTTACCTTCAAAAAAATTTTACTTAAATTATAGTTTTCTGCCAAGTATTTTGCGAGCTAGTTGACTATTAGATGTGATTTATAAAACGTTGTCAACTATTTTTGATGAATGCATTGTTTGCGTTTTGAGAATGATGGAGTTTAAAAAATGCATCATAAAATATGATTTGAGTCAGTTTTCTTTTGAATTTCTGAGGTAACCTGAGTCACTGCTAAAAGTGAATCACTATTAAATTTTATGTTAATAACTTATACACATGAATTGCGTGAAAAATATTTGTACTTTTCTACACTTTATGCGTGTGTTTTGATAATTTGATATCTTTAGATGTTAAACTTATTCTTTTGTAGTTTGTATCAATCTTCTCGATATTTTTAGAGTAAAATTAAAAATGAATAAATAAAAAAGTACTTACTTATTTACAATCATCGTATATTTTTGGAATCCTTGTCGAAAATGACGTTAAAAGATAGAGGATCGTTAGTTATTTAAACAAGGAAAACACAAAACGGTATCGAATCACTATTGAGGAAGGTGGGACAAATAACGTTAAAACCTGTTTGAATGTCCGGAAAATTGAGGAGTGAAAAGCGATTTTAAAAATTCCCCTAAGTATTATCACGCACTTACTTTGGTTCTGATGTTTTCCACCTCGCTTAACTCACTCTTAATTCGATAGTGTTTTATTTTTCTTCATTTCATATTTATTCACTAGCCATTAAAAAAAAATTTTTTTTTTACATCGAAATATTTATATCTGAAATCTATATTTCCTATGTATTAAGAACACTCGTTTCGAATCACTCTGGATATTTAAGTATAATAAAGAAATACAAGTAAATGCAATAACTTAAAAATAATTGTCTTAAACAGCATTGTTAATTTTCAAAATAGAAAAATCTCAATGGCCAAATTTTTACTTGTTTCATTACATTAAACAAGAAAAATTATTCGAATGTTCTAATTTTTTTCCTCTTCTATTTTAGTTCTCAGTCTGAGAAATACACAAGAAGATGAACCGCCCGACCCTCAGCTGATGAGACTGGACAACATGCTAATAGCTGAGGGTGTAGCGGGACCTGAAAAAGGTGGTGGTGCTGGTGCAGCAGCGAACGCATCTGCGGCCGCTGCGTCCCAAAGTCCTGGCGGGCCCCAGGCAGAAAATGCAATCGAACATTCAGATTATAGGGCGAAACTTGCCCAAATACGTCAAATATATCACCAAGAGCTCGAAAAATATGAACAGGTAAGTCCTGTTTGTATTTATTATTTCATAATGCCTTTAAAACTTTTGTATCTTTAATAAATAATTAATACATTTAATAATTTTGTTATGATAAAATTACAGCTCTAAAAATTAAATTCTTACGCAATAATATGCATGTCATGCAGAGTGTCCATATTTCATTGTTAGATACGAAAATAGGCTTAAAAAATTTACATAAATGTGTTTTACAAAGTTGAGATGAATAAAATAGGTACTTAGACACAAAATTACTCCACTTTTTTTTCCAATTTAGACCCAATATAATCTAACTGTGCTCTAACCTGCTCTGAAATATATAGTTTTCGCAAAATTGCTTCCAATCTTAATCCAGTGTGCTCCAGCTGTGTTCCAACATGTTCAAAAAACTTTTCTTTTTACAAAATTGCTTCCAATCCGTTACAATCATACCTGTTACAAAATTGCTTCCTACCTCTTCCAATCCTATTCCATTATGCTCCAGTTGTGTTCCAACATGTTCAAAAAACTTTTCTTTTTACAAAACTGCTTTTAAGCATGTTTCAATTGAGATCCAGTTTGTTATAGCTATGCTCTAACCTACTATGAAAAAGGTTCTGTTAAAAAAATTTGCTCCAATTGCTCATACAGTCTACGAATTTATGTTGCACATTCTTAATATTATTAAACTATAAATTCTTAATTTTGTGCCATTTGAAGTTTTATAATTCTTTATTGTTTTGGAGTTTCAATTTTAATTTACATACGCATTAGAAATCACTTAAAATAGAGAAAATCTGTTTTATAAACTATAACTTTTGAATTTGTTTGTGCTGCTTGTCTATCACTCAATCTGTACATTTAACCGATTTTGCTTATTTCATTCATTATTCCCCTATCTGCTCTGAAATATATACTTTTTATGAAATTGCCTCAAATTCGTTACAATCATATTTTTTGCAAAATTACCTCCAACTTATTCTAATCCAGAGATCCAGTTTGTTTATTCCAGCGGTATTCTAACATATTCTAAAATACTTATTTTTTACAAAATTGCTTCGAACCTGTTCCACTCCTTATCCAGTTTATTCCAGTCGTCATCCAGCATGTAACATACTTATTTTTTGCAAAATTGCTTCCAATCTGTTCCAATCCAGATCCGATTCATTCTAGCTATATTCCAACCTACTCTAAAATAGGCACTGTTCAAAAAATTTTACATTAGTCGCTCATTAATTAGACTATTGCTCATAGTCATAATCAACATAAATTATCCTATCGCTCATAGTCATTGCAACATAAATTAGCCTGTTAATTTATGTTGCATTCTTGTTATTATCACATATTGCATTCTAAATGAATGCCATTTGGAGTTTTATAAATCTTTATTGTTTTGGATTTACTATTTCACTTTACAAAAGCATTAGGAATATTAAAATTAAGGAAATTTGTTTTGCGAGTTACAACTTGTGAAATCTGTGGATTGCCTTCATAATGCATCACTGTATATTTCACCGATTTTGCTAATTTTATTATTATTTATTATTTTTTCCCAACTATCATAACTAGCAAAAATCTATACATGATTGAAAGTGGTTGAATTTTAAACTTAAAAAGCAACGTGACACAAAAACCATTTGCTTATCCTTTTCGCTGCCTACTACAATGGTCAGTTTCTCTGGATTATAACCTGCTGAGCCAAATCTATTTAAGTTTCGCTGAAGGACGTTTTCGAAAAACCGATAGGATACCCCACAGAGTTTTGGATTATCTATAAATGGAGTTTTAAAATACTATCCTGCATTTTACTGATGGTGTGGACCAGCTTGGTGCATTCATTAGTGCCAACACTCCCTGAAATTAGCATACAAATTGGACCAGTTTCTGTGACATGTATGCTTGGCGAAGAGGTGTGGCCCTTTAGTAAGAATGCTTTTAATATTGCTTCATAAGCCTCGCCCAATTGATTATAATGGCTGAAGGATTGGTTAAATGAAGAAATTTTGTGTTCATTCTCTTTTTTTCTATTTTATTTTATTTATTTATTTACTTTTATCAGATGTAGGTTAGGTGTGTATGTTTAGGCGAAAGATCTGGAGTATTTGTTTTCTAGGATTTTCGAATGCTTTGTAATAAAGAATGGGTATTGTTTTTCATAACTTATTTATTTTTTTATGGATCGTATTGCTATTCCGGCGAAGCATCGAAGAACAGTATTAACTCTCATTTCTGATTACACTTTGTTTACCATAGTATCATGAAAGTTATCAAATACAAAGACATATTTCACAAATGCAAACATATATTTCACAAATAATTTCGCACGCTGCCAAATTTCTGTTACCAATTTCTCAAAACAACGTTTTCTAATAGTGTGCACTTAAAAATTTGAATTTTTTCAAAATATTTTTTTTTTTTTTTTTTTTTTTTTTTTTTTTTTTNTTTTTTTTTTTTTTTTTAGTGTTTAAGGAGTCCATTCATTTCGTTTCGTTCATTCATTTTCGTTGCTCTCATTTCATTTTGTTGTCAGAAACCTTGTTTATTTTTTAATTATTTCCATGGTTCTGGACATCGTATCCATTTTATAATGCCCCACCACTTATAAAGTAGTGGGAAAAAAATCTATTCTATCATAATTTTCATAGCTGTTAATAATTGCTGAATATTTACAGTGCGAAACACTGTACATATGTACTTAAAATTTGTACGATATGTACTTATAAATATAAGCCAAATGTGTTCATAATTCCGAAATATGTACATATTTAGAATACTTGTTGACATGCATGGTCTTTAAATCGCAATATCAAAAAATAATTTTTTCAGACAACAGCAAATTGTAAACAACCTGAAGCCTTACTAAGTACATCATGTAGAAAAAAATATTCAAAGTTTAATTTGTTTAACTATGAAGAAAATGCTGAAGATTAATTGATAGAGTAAGAACTGTAAATGCGAAAAATGAAAACCATGTAGGAAAGAAGATATTTATTCTTGTAGTACCTAGCAAAGCATCTGTAGCATTATAAAGAATCATTTGTAAGATTTACTATTTATAAAGTATATTTGAGGTAATAATAAATTTATGAAATGAAAGCAACTCACATAAATAAATTATCGTAATTCTGTATGCAGCGTAAGTGTATGTTTACAACAATATTATTGTTATATATATGTGTTATTGTTATATATATGTTACTGTGTTTGTTTATAGCATTATTTTTTAAAGAAAAAAGTTTTTTACTAAAAAAGTAAAAGAAAAGTATGGGAGAGACCTTATAAGTTACTGGCCGAATTAGTTAAAATAAATAAATAAAAATATTTTCTTTTCAAGTGTAATTTGAGATGCGGATCCCCCACAAGTGGGGGGGGGGGCTCTGGGCACGTGCCTCTAATGCTCTCCCGTAAATCAGTCTCTGCTTGTTATTGAAATCAAAATTTAAACATTCTTCATGATTCTATACATTGAAATATTATTATTTAGAACAATCATATTTATTTACCATGCAATAATGCTTTCTTGCAAAACTATATTGATATTTAATGTTTTAAATTGTAATATTAAGTTGACTATGTCCTTCTTATTGCATTAACTATACAAATAGGATGATATGATGAATTTATAGGGATGTGGCTGAAATTTATAATCTAGACAAATATTTAAGTTAACGAATGGTTATCCATTAATTTTAACCTTTAAGAAGCTTATGACACTCTTCTTTTATTTTCCATAGCCTCTGAAACTAAACTTAGGTGCGTAAAAATTTTTTTTTTTTACTGAACAAACAGTAAAACAGTATCAAAATTGAAATACAATGCTTGCTGAATCTAGCAAAAACCAGGAAAATATCTTTTCTCTTACATAAAAAAAATAAAATAAACGAGGGCTTGAAGGAACAATGAGACGAAGGGGGCAGCTGGTCATCTTCTGGTATTAGATATCCCCCTGCCCCTCCCTTTTTTGCAAAACTGCTGAGACATCTAATGATCAGTGTAAAACGATACGGAAAAACTCTCCCCCACACCCCTCACCTATTTATCAATCGGCCCCTTCATGCTGTTTTTTCCCTCTACTAAAAATACAGACATCGGGATGGAGTACAAATTGCACCTTCGTATGTGTTTATATTTGGAATTGGATTCTTTATTTCCATCATTAACAACTCTTACATTCTTCAGGTTTCTATTAATTAGGAATACCGATACCTTTCGATTTGATGTATCTTATCGAGAGCTGTGCGATATATCGATCACCGATGTGCGAGTTCATTTTCGATATAGTATTATGAATAAAGCGGTGCATCATTATTATGCGAAAGAGTTTGTAGACAACTTGTTTTTCAACCATTTGTTAGGAAGAGGGTTTGAAATCTTTATTGTTTAAATTTAACTTTGTTAAAATAAATTTATTGTTGATGTTCAACCATGTTGACAATTTTAGAGTTGAAAGTCAGCCAAGTTAGCCTATTTCTTAGTGCTTCAGGCAACTTGGTGGAAATTAATATTAAGTTAACCTTGTTGATATTTTTCTATGGTCTAAAATCAACCTTGTGATTTATTTATTTTTTTAATATTTAAAGTAAACAGTGTAGACATTTTTTTATTGTTTAGAGTCAACCATTTTTATGCTTGTCACATCATCTGAAGCTAATACATCAATATTGATTCCGATGCAAATTAAAAACAACCTTTTTGAAAAAAAAATATTATGGAAAAACTGGACTTTTAAGCTCAGCTGAACTTTAAGTCCAAATATAAATCAGGAATGCAGTAAAACATTCAAATTTTTGTTTTAAAAAAAATGCTTCACGAGTTAAGAACTATATTTAATGAGGTTTTTTGGCAAATTTGTAGAAAATATTCACACTAGTATCCCCTCTCCTCTACCTATTTTGAGTGCGTATCTAATATATTCACCTCCAGAGGTATTAAATTGTGCCCTTCATTCTTGTGTTAACTGCAGTTTTCAATTTATGGGTGTGAAGTTTTCAGAAATGAGTTGGGATGAGCACCTTTGTTCCAAG